CCCGCTGCTGAGTCAGGGACAGCTGGTGGGAAAGAATCTGGGTGTCTCAGCACTGGGTGTTGGGGAAAGAGGGGGACTGCTCAGGGAAGCCTGAGGAGGTGATTCACCTCATTCAGCACGTTTGCTGAGTACCTATAGAATGTCAGGCCCTGGGCTGGGAGACTGTTTCCAAAAGCCAACAGGGCTGTGCTATAAGGCCAGTTAAGGTCTCAAACTCATCCTAGAAAAAGTGCTATGTGTCTCATTGCTGAATATTACTATGGTCACCAGATGGCCAAGGGGAGTACTTCAAAGGTGACCAGAGTGATATATTCAGCAATGAGGCATGCAGTGCTTTTTCTAGGATAAGTTCATGAACTTAATTGCCAGACCTTTTAAGTCTCTTCTGTAAATTAATGTGAATTAAATTCATTGATTTAGTGCCAAGCGCTGTGCACTAGATACTTCAGAGAGATGATGATCTCAGCTACTGTTCTATTTCCAAAATACACTTGATCCCCCTCGGCCCCCCCCACCTCTCTTCATTTCTGTCTCCACCATCCCAGGCCAAGTCCATCCACCCAGGCTTTGCCCGGCTGACACCAAAATTGCTCCAGCTGGTCCTCCTCTCCCTCGCTCCTACAATCCTTCTCTAATGGCACCCAAGAAGAGAGTTCTTGAAAGTAGAAATGAGATCCCAGATACTTTCCCAACATGTCACCCCGCCCCCGCCCCCCCAAACCTGTGGTTTTCTCCTTCTTCTTAAAGACCCAACTCCTTATTACTCTGGCCTTCAAAGAGGACCCATAGGAGCTGACGCTTGCCCATCTTTCTCTCTTTCTTTCATTTGCTTATTTTCTCTCTGTAAACTTGGATTTCAAGTAGTACAACTGGATTAACTGTAAATCCTCAGTCCCTGATACATTCTCAGTCTTGGTGCCTGAAAAGGTATCTTTGGTCTACTCACTTTTATTTAGTTAGATACACAGTTATTTTAAATAATGTAGTTAGTACCTTCCAAATCATACCTAATGTAATAACATGGATGAATCTTTTTTTTTTTTTTTTGAGACAGAGCCTCAAGCTGTCCCCCTGGGTAGAGTGCCGTGGCATTACAGCTCACAGCA